CTTTCACTCTTTTCCTTTCTCTTTTTCATACACCTACACAACTACGCACATATATCGTACAAATTTCGATCTTCTTTTTCTCTAACTCTTTCTTTTTTCCTATTGTTCTTTTTCTTTTTTCTTTCTTTTTTTTTTTTTTCTTTTGTTCCTTTTTTCTCTTAGCGAGATAGAACAGTGGTATATAATGTCTGCTTAGAAATGACACGTTAACATAAATAAGATGGCATAAATTGTATCGCGTGAGTTTTTCATTTTATCAAATAGCACCTTACAATCCGCAGGATCCATTGAAGAAGGAAGTCCTCTCACAGAAAGTCGATATATCTTTTCGTTGAATCTCGAGTTTACTCGAGCTCCTTTTATAAACTCCTTTATCTCTCTCTCTCTCTCTCTCTCTCTCTCTCTCTCTCTCTCTCTCTCTTTCTCTCTCTCTTTTTCTTTTCAACACTTCGGAAAGAGACTTTCGATTTTGTCGACATTTAAATAGGATCTCGATTGGTTGGAAGAGACAAAACAACGAAAGGACTCTTCCTCTCTCTCTCTCTCTCTCTCTCTCTCTCTCTCTCTCTCTCTCTTTCTCATTTCCTTTCTTTCCTTTTCATTTCTTTTTCTTTTTTTTTTTCTTCTTCTTCTTCGACGACAAGGAATCTCTCGTTTGCCCTTAAAGTACATGAAAAGCTTACGAGTTAAATATTTTATCCCTTTGTAAAGGGAAAGTTTTGTTGCTGTTACATATATAGTCTGGCCCGCATGTTCTCTCTCTAACTTTATTTCTACAACCTCTCTGTCTCTCTCTCTCTCTCTCTCTCTCTTTTTGTTTCTTTCTCTACATTCATAATAAAGACGACGATACGTTTCAACAAAATGGCGATGACACGAAAGAATCTCTTCCGTTTTTACGAATATTCGACGAGTCTTGTCCAAAGACAAAGAACCGTCGCATTCTATGCTTTTTTCATTTTTTCATTTCCTTTTTTTTCTTTTTTCTCTTTTTTTCTTTTTTTTTTCTACAAGAATATCTACGTATCCTTCGACAAAGGATTGAGCAATCGAGAAAGAAAGAAAGAAAGAAAGAAAGAAAGAAAGAAAGAAATTAAAAAAAACATAAAAATAGATAAATAAATAGGAAAGGAAAAAAATTATAGAAAAAAAAGGAAAGTACGTCCATCAAGCTCGAAGCGTGAAAACTTTTTATATTTTATTATTTTTTCTCTTTTTTCCTTTGTTTTGTTTTGTTTTGTTTTTTTCTTTTCTCTTTTTTTTTCTTTTTTTTTTTTATTTCTCTTTTTCATCCTTACGATAGCTAAAAACGTCGAGAGAATAAGAGACAGAGACAGAGAAAGAGAGAGAGAGAGAGAGAGAGAGAGAGAGAGAGAGAGAAAGAGAGAGAGAGAGAGAGAGAGAAAGAAAGAGAAAGCATCGAGACGTTAGAATTTCACTTTGATCCTTTTGAAATGAAATGATACACAAGTACATATATGCGTAAATAGAATCGCGAAGAAGACAGAGACAGGAAGAAAGAGAAAGAGAAAGAGAAAGAGAAAGAGAGAGAGAGAGAGAGAGAAAGAGAAGAGGGATGAATTCTCATACTCTTAAAGCGTTTATATTTCGTCTCTGAGCAAACAATGTTGAGAGGAGCAGAAACTAAAAAGGTAGAGAAGAGATGGCAACACGATGAAGAGATAGAAAGAATGAGAGAGAAAGAAAGAGAAAGAGATAAAACGACAGAGAGAGAGAGAGAGAGAGAAAGAGAGAGATATCTAGAGGGACATCTTACTGCAATGAAAAGAAAGTCGTACTTCCATCAGACACAGTAGATTTACGTTCTCTTTTTCTCCTAGTCTCCCTCTCTCTCTCTCTCTCTCTCTCTCTCTCTCTCTCTCTCCCCCCTCTTTTTCACTCACATTGCTTGTTTTCTAAATCCTTCTTGTCTTGTCACACCATCTTCCCTCTTGTAAATTCTCGTACACAATCGTTGGTACTTTAACGATCATTAAGACCTTTTTTTTTCCCTTTCCTCGACACGAACGATATTTTTCAAAGGGCATTCAAAACAATCGAATTATTATTATTATTATTATTATTATTATTATTATAAAATAGCTATACCAGAAGGAAGATTATTTCTCTTGGGACAAATTGAATTTTCGATTAGTAATCGAGTCGACAATTATCCTTGTTATACGTTATGTTATTAAGCCAAGTAGTTGCTTTATTGTATATATACCTACGAAAGGGAGAGAGAAAGAGAGCGTGCGCGCGCGCAAGAGAGAGAGAGAGAGAGAGAGAGACAGAGAGAGGGAATGTGGTAAACGTCATCTGATAACGAAACTGGTAAAGAACACAAACGTGTTGCTTATAGTGCTGTCGAATCCGAGCCTTTGTTCATGCGAGAACAACGGTATTCGCGATGACAGCTCGATAGAAAATTTATAATAACATAGCGCATTACTCGTATCAAACAAGGAAGTAATTTTCCCCTCTTGATCTCGTATTTCAGATACAGGTGTACGGATTTAACGCCGAGCTCTATCATAATATCAGTGAGGCACAACACAAGAGTCAAGGATTAGTCGCAATTTCGCTAATGGTCCAGGTAAGCTTCCGCACGTTTCTTCCGCATATATATATATATATATATATATATATATATATATATAAAATCCTGTCCTTATTTAATCTACAAAATTTGATTGTTTCGTTTTTGTTTTGACCAAGAAGGAATATATTTTTATATAATATCGAATTGAATTAAATTAATATTAATATTAATCAAATTGTATTAATATTATTCGAACAAAAGCTAAAATAATAATAATAATAATAATAATAATAATAATAATAATAATAATTGTCACGTAATACGAAAGTACGAATATTAATATCGAGAAATTAAGGTAGAAAATAAAAAGTATAACGATCGTTCAATTTGATTTGTATAAAAATGAATTCTTTCATTACTTAATAATATTAAAAGGCGAAATGAAATTTTCATTGAAAATTAATACCTGAGATTGTTTCCTTTTTTTTTTCTTTGCTTCTTTTTTTTTTTCTTTTTCCTATAATCGAAGAAATCGGTGATAATCCGAAATGTTCCCGCTTACGGGATACCCCATGAAAGTAAAGTCAGGAAGAAAGACGAAAAAGAGTAGGTAAGGATCGTCCTTCGAGCCACACGAACTGGCTGGCTGGTTCTCTTTCCCTCGAAGATAAATCGATCCATTGGGAATTCCGTTACTTCAACCAAAACCGATTCACGGATTTGACATTCTGTAAGAGATTGTTTATCAGATGGACCCTGCGAAAAAAGAAAGAAAAAAGAAGTAAAAAAAAAAAAAAAAAGAAAAAAAACGAAAATGAGAACAAAGGTTGGTTTATAAAAAAGAAAAAAGAAATTTAATACAATCGATAACACAAATTCGAACAAAATGAAATACATATATATATATATATATATATATATATAAAAGTAACGATTGATCGCATTTTTCTTTTACGATATCTAACAAAAAAATCGTTCGGTGAACGAATAATTTATCATATGATCTAGATATAGAAACGAAACGTTTCGATATAAGATTATCATAGATTTGACATTTTATACGAGATTCTTTGTCAGTTGGACTTTTCAAAAGAAAAAAAGAAAAAAAAGAAAAAAGAAAGAAAAGTAAAGAAAAAGAGAAAATATTTCTTCGATAGAAAAAAAAATTTAATACGTATTGATAAAACAGAGATCCAATAAATAAAATAAAATGCATACACCAAAAAACAAAACAAAACAAAAAAAAAATATATATATATATACGTATAAATGGCGATCACATTTTTCTATCAATTCTTTTGTCTTTTTTTTTCGTTTTCTAACAAAAATCCTTCCGCGAGGGAATAATTTACATGATTAAAGAAAAGAAAGAGAACAAGAATAAGTATAAGAATAAGAATAAGAAAAGGAAAATGAAAGAGAAAAGTTTGGAAATAAGATCAGAGATAAGGATGGAGAAAATCGAAGGACCTGTGACCACAAGTGAGGAGGGAAAGGGAGAAAAAGCTCCTCTTTCTGGTATTCACGATGACAGTCGTTCTCGAGTACCCCGAGGGAAAATTCTTTTTCTCTTTTCTCTTCCTCGCGTGCAGCTCCTTCGTGCCCTTTCGAAAGCAACGGCTCGAATCGATTACACGAAACGGCTCTTAATGAACGCCTTGCTTCTGTCCAAGTTCTCTCTATCCCTTTTACACTAACTTTTTCTACCTCTTCTCCCCTCTCTCTCTCTCTCTCTTTCACTTTCTCACTCTCCTTCTTCTTCTTCGAATAATATACTAGAATAAAGAAATGGTATAGAGAGAAACGCGTGTTATACGAGCGATTTTTACGTGCAGCAATTGCATTGAAAATAAATGATTATCCATCGTTCGAAATAGGAATATATAATACGAATGTGAAACAGAAGACAAGTGGTTCATTAATAGCAAGAAACATGTTGATATAACGGATGTAAACGTCAGCAAATTGACGCTTGGGCTGCTTGACTGTTTGTCTCTCTCTCTCTCTCTCTCTATCTATCTATCTATCTATCTATGTATCTATCTCTCTATCTCTCTCTCTCTCTCTCTCTCTCTCTCTCTCTCTCTCTCTCGCGCTCGCTCTTTGTGCTAGAGGCTACAGGCAACGGTACGTATCCATATCGGGCTACCAGTATCACCTGTATCGCGCTATTGCAATCTCTGTCAATATCAGTGCAAACGCCAAGTGGATTAACACGCCCATGTCATATTAAATACCTTTTGCGTATGTTACGAGGATACAAATTTTCGAGGGGTTCCGTGAATAAATCACACGTGGAACGTTCATACCCAAGACTTTAGAACGATTGTTATCAAAATTCGATCAGACACAATGTTTAACCATTGTTATTACTCGTATGTGTATATATGCTTTCTCAAAAAAAAAAAAAAAAAAAAAACAAGAAAAAAAAAGAAAAAAAGAAAAGAAAAAAAAATTGAACAAAACAAAATAAAAGAGACATAGACGTATGATCAACGAGAGGGAGAGAGAGAGAGAGAAGATATAACTTTTTATTCATTGATACTGTACTCGCAATAAGAAGAATATCCATTCTATTTTAATTAATCGGATGAGAGATAGGGGTATATATACGGTAGGGTTGATTAGATATTAATCATTAAAGAGAATAAAAGTTTGTGGAAAAAATATAAAGCATGACGACACGTGAAACGAAACTAAAGTTAAAAAAAAAAAATCTGATGTATATAAAAGGGATAGCGAGCGAGCTATCCATCTACATAATGACTTTAATATATATATATTTTTTATTCTTCTTTTTTTTTTTTTTCTTTCTTTCTCCAGCTGTCATATCGAGAATCAGATAGGAAAGTTAGCGGTGATAACTCGATGGAGAAGTTTCGAGCAAGCCCCCAGACAGTTTAAGCCAATCCTCATCCTCCTCTCGTCGTTCTGCTTTCTCTCTTCTCGAGTCGACGCCGGAAAGTACTCGATCTCTTTCCCTGTCGTTTTCCAACCCCTTCCTTCTCTCTCTCTCTCTCTCTCTCTCTCTCTCTGTCTCTCTCTGTCTCTCTTTAGCGAAGAGTTGATCGTAAAGGTGTGCGTTGAAAGGGTGCACAGGTCGAGAAAGAGAGAAAGAGAGATAGAGAGAAAGTGAGATAGAGAGAGGCTAAGGTTGACGACTGTAATTCAAACGGATTATACCCTGGAGCGCCGGAGGGTTGAGATATAAACGAGCAGGGTTACGATGAAACGGCGTTCCTTCTTCCCTGGCCAAGGCTCAGTGTGTGTGTGTGTGTGCGTGTGCGTGTGCGTGTGCATATACGTGTGCGTGAGTGTGTACGTTAATACATACGTATGTATAACGTAGGTGGAGTATGTATCCTACGTGAGAGAAAATGATAGAGAAAAATATTTTCACCTGTTCACAGCCAAACTTTTTCTACCTATGTTTTACGTCGAGCTACCTTTTATCTTCTTCTTTTTCTTCTTCTTCTTCTTCCTCTTCTTCCTCTTCTTCCTCTTCTTCTTCTTCTTCTGCCTTCTTCTTCTTCTTCTTCTTTTTGTCGTTGTATTTTCTTTTTTATTTTCTGTCCCTTTTTTTGTTTTTCTTTTTTCTTTTCAGTCACCACGTAAACTACCTTTCGCTTAGAGATACCACCCATCTATCTCTCTCTGTTTTTTAATTAAATGTTTTGTTTCCGATACAACAGCTTTTGTCTCTCCCTCTCTCTCTCTCTCTCTCTCTCTTTCTTTCTTTTTCAATCAGGATTTTTCCTGAAAACTTTCACATCACGATGTTCATCGTTATATCGTTGTTTTACCCGATGGAGCAGTTTTCCTACTAGCTGAGAATAATTTAAACGAAAGGATTTAATTAGGATACGATGAAGTGTCAGCGAACGGGAAGCTAATATTTTTTAGACTAGATTGCTATAATATAGCGATAGAGATTAGCTATACCTTTTCCAGGGTTACGAAGGAGGAGTAGTAGTAGAAGGAGACAAGGATAGTATAACGTTGGCTCTCTACTAGTTTGCTTTACGTACGACCGACCACCACCGTTGCAATTAACCCTCTTAATTCATAATCAGGGTAGGCTCCCAGAAGCAGCCTGAATTAAACTGTAGGTTAAGATGATGGAATTAGCGTCGTCTTCATTTCCTACCGGCCGTTAGATATTTTTCATTATGATTAATTTCACTGAGAAATAATCTCTCTCTCTCTCTCTCTCTCTCTCTCTCTCTCTCTCTTTCTCACTCTCATTCTATCTCACTCCACTTCTTGCATATTCTGGAAAACGCATTAACATCGACCGATAAGATCCAACGTTAATGTTACTCTCTTAACGAGAAAGCAGCAGAAGTAAAAGAACTATTCAAGCTCGTTTTCTATGCATGTATGCATATATATATATATATATATATATATATGTATGCATGCATTTACGTGTGTACGTAATTCTTGCCCATTCTTGCCTGAAACGAGATAAAAAAAGAAGGAAAACTAAAACGATTGTTTAAGAAATAAAATGGAATAATTTAACGCGGGAAATTATTATTTTCCGTTTTCTTTTCTTTTTTTTTCTTTTTTTTTTTTTTTTCTTCTTTCATCTTCCTCTTCTCTTCTTTTATTCTTCTTTATTTCTTTTTTTAATTTTTTTTTGCTCTCTCCTTTTTCTTTTTAAATTCACTCGCGCCAATCGACAAGTCGTTAACACGTCGTAATACAATTATTTCAATCGAAGTATCGAAAAGAATCAGCGTAAATCAATTTTGTAAGGTTACCTACGAAATGAATTAGAACGTAAAGGACAATGTTGTTAAACGAATAGACCTCGGAGAATCGCAAGTTTCTACAAGTTTAATCGTGGGAGTCACGCGGCAGCGAACGGATTTATGCCGACGCATAAAAGTGCGGTAGAGCACGTAAGAGAGAACGATGTCGCGTGTAGCAAAAGGAAAACTTTGCAGTTGTGCCGAGAGACGACGACAGTTGCCTGCACGATGCTATTCCTATTCTTCTTTACTCCTCCTTCATCCTACAGGTCCCTCTTCTTCTTCTTCTTCTTCTTCTTCTTCTTCTCCTCCTAGTTCTCTCTCTTTCTGTAAATTTTCCAAAAAGATAAACGACTATATTACGACGAACGTGCAGCCTGGCACGCGTTGAACGCCGACGGAATTTCAACGCCCAACTCGTAAGCGCAAAACCTACGACGACTAGCTTATAAACAAAGAAAAAAAGAAGAGAGAGAGAGAGAGAGAGTGAAAGAAAAAAAGGATGAAAAAATATAAACTCTCCTCTCTCTTTCAAGATCATCGCTTAGCTTTTTATCAAATTAACGATCTACGATACGTTCTTTTTCTTTCTTTCCTTCTTTCTCTCATTTTTGTTTTCTTTTCAAATGAAGAGAAAGTAAAAAAAAAAAAAATTAAATTAAATTGAATTAAATTAAAAAAAAAAAAAAAAAAGAAAATAAAAAAGAAACAAAAAGGAAAACTCGTAGTTTTTTCTTTTTCTTTTTTTTCTTTTTTTTGAGTTTTGCTTTTCCTCTCGTTTTTTTTTCTTTCTCTCTTTTTTTTTCTTTTTTCAAAGTTTCTCGACGTTAAATCATTCGCATTATCGTTTGTACGTAGTTACTTACGTACATTTAACGTGGATATAAAATAGTTTCAACGGATTCGTGCCGATTCCAATTGTTTCGAATAGTTTGACGATTTAACAGAATCGAAGGGTAAAACTATTTCCAATGGATCGGACCAACCACCGAGGCTCTCCCGATTGTTACCAATAGTTGTTCCTTAACATCCGTTAATCGTGTCCGATGATCGAAATTTTGTTTTCGAACATTTTTCACTCTTCTTCTCTTTCTTTTTTTCTTTTTTTTTTTGTTTTCTTTTTCTTTCTCTTTTTTCTTTTGTAAAACAAAGTATCCAATGTTATAATGTTCCAAGTATAAGAAGAACGTTGTCACTTCGTGTAATACTTGAAATGGATCCATCCTCGTAATCAACGAGGTACGATATAAAAAAAAAAAAAAAACTTTGTTCGAAGGATCCGACGAATAAAGTTCAGTTGTATATTTATATATATGTATCTTTTTCTTTTTCTCTTTTTTTTTTCTTCTTTTTTTTTTTTTAACACGGTACGATGGTACAATTCGTAAAAAGATATAAATCTTCTTATTTATCGTCACTTCCCAACTTGAGGTTTGTTTTCGATAGCTATTACGTATACTCTTTAATGGTATCCCAGGATGAAACTTTCCAAACGATCTTCCAGCGTTCCCTGTTTACCTCTTTATACACTATTTTCTTCAAGTTATCTATCTCAGTAACAAGAACAACAACAACAACAAGAACAACAACAACAACAACAACAACAACAAACAACAATAACAACAACGTAAAACACTGAAAATAAAAATAATACGTGGAAACTTGTTTTCTGTTGCAGCTCGGTGAAACCTTAAATCCGGAACTACGTATTATCACGAGCGTATTTAGCAAGGTTCTTCACAGAGGTACGTAAAAAAATTCATGAATTGTATTTAAATTGAATTATATATATATATATATATATATATATATATATATATATATCTCCATTAAAATTACTTTCGTTTTATAATAATTTTCAAGGATCATTTATAAACAATCCTTGAAAATTTCTTCTTAGTTAATCGTCGTTATAATTAACGATGTTAAATGAAATAAAATTTAATCGGATTCGATTAAAGTAGATTCCGTCAGTCATTTTATTTAAGGGGTACTTTATACGGGAAATTTATTCAGCACTAAATCGTAAAGCGAGATGAGAAATGCACAAAGGAGAACAACGCGAAAGTTCGACTCGGAAAAGACCTTTTCCTTGAATATCCTTGATGCCCTCGAAAAAAAAAACCGATCGACTTCTGTACTCCCTTGATAGAGACAAGGGGAGAGAGAAAGAGAGAGAGAAAGAGAGAGATAGAGAGAGCTTTCAAACTCATGGAACACTTGAAGATCACGAAAAAAAAAAGAAAAGAGAAGAAAAAAGAAGAAAAGAACAAAAAAGTCTCTAAATCTATCGCAATTATAACAATTATCGATTAATTCGAAACTCCGATATTGTTTAATAAAATTCAATAAACGTAAATAATACTCGTTAAATAAATAAAACTCGTTCGTTCTTCTTCGATAGAAATGAACTTTGATCATTTCTATAATTCGCGATGATATAATGATTTATTTTTAACGATTTATCTTTTCGATATTATATTTTTATATTCACATTTAATCTATTTTCTACTCTATTCCCTATCGATTGTGTCTGAACTCATTCAATGAGACAAATTACCCATCTTCCTATTTATAACATTTAACATTTGACAACGACATCAAGCGTGACATTTCCATATGACTATGGTTACATCTATCTATGTATCCATCTACGAGAATTAATATAATCAGAGATCCTATATAGGTTGTATAATATCGA